CTATGGTGCAACTGCTCCTGTATTGTTACGTGGGCGAAAAACTTACGTTCGAGGTATTACTTATGAAGTAAAAATTAATTAATAGCTGTTTTTCTAATAATTCGTTTTAAACATAATTAAAGTCTGCAATTTTTCAGAGTATAGATATAGCTGACACAGCGTACAATTGCGAGTGGTACAGTTTACCTCCTAAGAACGCGAGATTACTTGTAATTATCATGTGCCGTGCTGTCGCATCACCGCTGAAACTTACAGCAGGCAAATTTTGTTGGTTTACCATATTGCTATATTCTCAAGTAAGTGAAAATGAATTTTAATGAAAATTTTTCTTTCAATATTCGCTTATATGTTGCAATGTAATTATAAGGTAATTTGCAACATTAGAAATATATCAATATTTAGATAGAAATGAATATTGAAACATCTAGGGTATAAAATATTTGAAAATACTCGCATGAAGACCACAGTAAAGTCTTTATCTATTTGTTGCGTGCATTCATTGATACTATAAAATACTGTGAAACGCGTGTGGCATGATTGCGTTTGTCATATTTCAATTCAAATGGCTAATTCAGTGAAATGTGACTTACATTAAATATTTAGTAGTTTATATCTATATATGTAACTTAGCTTAACTAACGTATAATCGTAACAAACGGTTCTCATTATAAAATTACGAAATATTTTATACGGCACACGTACAATATATTCAGAAAATATACTCAGAAAAACAGATTTATATACCTACAATATAATCGTCAAATAAGAATCTGTGTAGAATAATTTTTTTGTATCTTTCAGATTGTGAAAACCGCAGTCTCGTATATTTCTGTATTGTACGCAACGAAAGATTAGTAGCGGGACGATTCTATAGTTCCTTAAATTTTACGTTAATTTATTGCTTTAGTGCAGCAAATACTACGAAAGGAATAAATTAGTATTTTTTTCTCTATGATAAATTGTGCTCCTGGAGAAATAAATGTAAGGCCAGACGAAGAATCAAATGTTATGCAGAGTAAAGAAGCTATTAAAATGCGATACAATTATTCAACAATATTATTTCTACTTTCTATGCTTCTCAACGTCTTTCCGTTTCTTCGAGACTTCAAGTTCATTCGTATTCAATTACTTATCCCACGTTCGTACCAACGCTTTTCGCCAACAATAGTATGGACACATTGAGGGCCTTACTTAGCAATGCCGCAACCACACTGTTGTTGGCGAACCCATAGTTGGATACGAAGGAGTTTATGGTAGCGTGCAGTTTGCAAACTGCTTGATGAACAATTCTGCCGAGTGTTAACCTAGCATTACGAACGATCGATGAGTATTTAAGTATGATTCATACTAGCGATGGAGGAACAATCGGATCATATCAAGTCAAACTCCAATCAACATCGTGCACATGTGATCCAATGGAAGTGTTTACGAAATTTGGTTAGGTCAAGAATATGAAAATTCTGATGATGGTGGACTCAGTTTTAAGCCTGATTCATACTAATAGCCAGAGGCATTGTTCTAACAAAACGAAAAATTTATGTGTGACATATGAAATCATTTGTGAAATTACATTGAAATAAAGAACAGGTACAATGAACAATCAAATGTCCCAAATGTCAACGTCAAGAATATAAAAATTATTAAAAAGTTGAAAAAAGTCTGGAGAAAAAGTTTGAGAATTGGCAAATGAAACGCGTAAGTGAATGATAAAAATGAATTTGACAAAACAAGTGAAATCAGAATGTAACACTCACACTTTATGTAGAAATTCCACTACTCCCAGCGATTTTTCTTTTATTGATTTTTTTCATCTTTTCATTTTCCCTCATCAATTTATTCATCCTCGAATCACCATATGTCACTGAAAGAAAATAATGATATTAGAAATATAACAGACATTGAGATTTCACAATGTACAATGACATAGAAGTGTAAGAATGTTTGATATATCGCATATTTATGCACCATTACTCAAAAGTCTTAGAACATGTATCATTTTTAATATTCACTCGTTCTAGACAGCAAAATTTTGAAAATGTATGTACATTATATTAAAAAAAGAAATTAAATTCTTAATTACTAATTATATTTTATAATATATTTTAATTTCAAGTCAAATTCAAGTAGCGCAAATATCATTTAATTTATAAACTCGATTTTATGAATTACGTACGGTAAGTTTTCATAAAATTTCTAAATATTATACTTGTTACAAATGTCCTTGTGGCAACGCTAACATTCGGTAAAAATTGTACTTTGTAGTGAATTATTTTCCTCGTGAGATGAAATTTCGTTTACTTGCAAATTTTGATGTACGCTGACCACATGAAGGAAAGCCAGACTAAAAGCATAAACTAACCATGTAGAAAAGATGCATGTGTATCCCCCGTCCATTGGACGAGATCATAAATAATTACATACAAATAATTACAAACTTTTAGCAACGAAACTGTACTATAATAGTCATCTGAAGCATGCAATTAAGAACGACATCGTACTACCCTATTCACGAATAATTAATGACATGTGCGCATTCTGAATGTACGAGAAGGGCATGCGCTGAGAGGAACATTGAAGTAACTTTTGAATATGAGAACAGTCACAGAAAAACTAGCCACCATGAACATCCAACGAGGTAACTTTACGTATTAGCTGATAAATATTCATAAAAAAAAGCAACGATATTTGCAAAAACATTTGTTTCGTCGTAATCATTAGAAATAAATCAGCAAATAAACAAGCGAGATAAACACAAAGTGTAAGAAGGAATGAAAATTAGATTTTCAAACAACAAATGTACAAAAATGTCGCATATTTTGTTGGATTAATCCCAAAAATATTGCGATCGTTGGCTTTTGTAGAACACTAGATGAAGATAAGGAATTAGGTGCTTGAAATTCATTAGCGACGAATTTTATTATACTTTTACAATTCCTTCATGTTCTTTTGTCAAGTTTTTTTTTTATTACTATTCTATAAAATTCTCGTAGTAATAGTTTCTGTTATTTTAAATATAACCATTAGGAAAACCTCATTGCTTGTAGGATAGTTCCTTTCTGTAACCCAAAATCCAAGTAGTATCACACGATCACAGATGATTATTATAATTTTCATTATGTTGCACGAAATTTGAGACATTTAATCCTGTTTTGCATTTTATATTTCCTTTGACAGAGATATTAAATAGTAAAACGAAATCAATTTGAAAGTTACAAAATTTATCACTGAAAAATCTAAGTGTAAAAGCAAAGACAAAACACAGTCTCTATAAAAGTAAAAAGACAGAATAACGCGATATTTTATTTGACGATACAGAATCACTTTTAAACAGCTATCCATGATGGAAATGTGAAATAAAATGGCGGTAAGTATCGCCGATATATTTCAAGTAAAGTGAAAAACCTAAATGAGAATTGTATCTAAATGATTAAATGATATTAATTGATTTAATTAATAATACAAATTAATTAATACATGGTACAAATGATATAATTCATATAATGCAATTTAAATAATGTTACAGACAACAAAAGGGAATGTCGTACGTTTAATAACCGCGGTTCACGATAATTTTTTAAATACCTATTTGCAACAGATTTGAACTACCAGCTCGGTTGGAATCGTTACACGATGAGGTTCACGGGCATCTGGCCGGAAGAGAGGAAGTGGAATAAACCTTCGAGTTACGTCGTTCTGATACCGTGTTTCATGATGCTGTGTTTCGGATGTGGTCCACAAACCGTCAATCTGCCGTTCATCGCGCACGACTTGAATCTCGTGGTCGAGAACTTGTCGATGGCTAACATGACCGTCACGATCTCGCTCGTGAAGACTATCACTTTTTGGATACACGGCAAGCGTAAGAATCTTATCACGTAGCCTGAGCGAGAGAATACTGTACTGAATTCGAACTCCAGATGAAATTTCCCATACTTAGTATTTTACTAACGAGAAACTCGGGAGGTAATGTGATAATAATAATATTTAGCTGTGCCGATGAGATTTCCTATATTTCGTGAGATTCAGAGTTAGATCGCAGGATCGTTGATGTTTTACACATTTTCACCAAGTTTGACCAAATTTCAATAGCCCGATTTATGAAACTTCAAATTCCAACTGAACTGACCGAGACGATCGAGTGTAATATTTTCTTCGGTGAACAGCACTGACTGACAAACTAAATATTTATCATTATACAAAACCATTGTTTCTCCCCTTGCAAGCGTTGAAGTTTCTGCTCAAGTGCATAGCCGAGGACTGGGCAACGACGGAGACGAAAACCGAACGTGAAACGATGGTGAACGTCGCCAATATCGTTCGAAAGGCCACGATAAGTTGCACGATGGTGTGCGAACTCGTGGCCGTATTTTACGTGTCTCTGCGGCTATTTTTCCTGAAAAGCAGTGACAACAACTTGATCTACCGTGGCTATTTTCTCTACAATACGAGCGTCAGCCCGAACTACGAACTGACGATGATCGGTCAAGCTCTAGCTGCTGTGTACGGAGCTGCCGTTTACGCAGCTGTCGATACTTTTATCGCTATGCTGGTTCTACACGCTTGCGGACAACTTTCGAACCTGAAGAACGATTTGAAGACCATTCACTTGTACGACAGGAGCGATTTTCAAGAGAAATTGAAGAAAATCGTCGACAAGCATAATTACATCAGTGGGTTCGTATCAAACAGTTCGTTTCGTCTTCTTCGAGTTACGCTGCTTGTAAATGAACAGCGAAAGTGAAATAAAATGTATTTCGATGCTACTTTTTCACATACTTTTCCACGTGTTTCGTCATATCTGACACTTCGTTTTTATTTGAAATTTATGAAATTATTGCGTAAAATTATATTATATTATATTATATCGTAAAATCTATTAATTTTATTAATTTTATTAATTTTACGCATTTATGCATTTAAAGGTGAATTCGATCCTTAATTTGCAAATATATACTTGTGTGTAGATTTTCTTCTAATGTTCATTAACTATTATCCCTAAGGTTCGCTGAAACGATAGAGAATTGTTTCAACCTGATGCTTCTGTTTCAAATGCTCGGGTGCATCATTCAGCTGTGTTTCCAGTGTTTCCAAGCCATCATGGTAGATCATACCTTTTCCTAAAATTTATATTTGTGGATTAAAAAGATGTTATAAAATCATTTAAAATCTCTTTCGACGTAATTTAATTTACAGTCACTGGGGGAGGAAGCAGAGCAATTCATGGTTTTCCAAATTGCGTTCCTGTGTTTCTATGTAACTTGCGCTATGATGCAATTGTACCTATATTGTTACGTGGGCGAAAGGCTTACGTTCGAGGTATCGTCCATGAGAGCTTTTTCTCATAAAAATTTAGATATATTATATTATAGATTTATATAATTTATATATTATATATTCGATAAAAATTTGGATATATTATATATAGATTTATACAAATTTATATAATTTATATATTATATATTATTATATATATTACACATAAATTTATATAGATTATATGTAGATTTTAGATGATCAGTTTGCCGATAATCGAAACGTGTATCGCGATTTTTCAGAGTACAGATGTAGCTAATACAGCGTACAATTGCCAGTGGTACAGTTTACCTCCAAAGGACGCGAGATTATTTATAATTATCATGTGTCGAGCTAGGTCATCGCCGCTAATGATCACAGCAGGCAAATTCTGTTGGTTTACTATATTGTTGTATTCCCAGGTAAGTAAAATTGAATTTTAACGCAATGCGAAATTTTTCAATGGAATCTTCCTTCCAATCTTACGATGATCGTTATTCTGAAGATTAGATCATACATTACAATTTGCGAAAGTTTTGGCCACGTGAAAAATATTCAATTTTAGTAAAACTTTTTGTACATTTCAGGTACTGAAAACCTCGATGTCGTACATTTCTGTTCTATACGCAATGCAAAGTTAGTAAAGAGGCGATCCTGTAATTATGATTCTTTAGTATTTCATAGCAGCCCATCACTTCAATCGTACAAATGTCACGGAAGAAATATTTTATATCTCTGTCTCTCTCTCTGAACGTTAAATAACTACTCTTGGTATGAATACAATATAAACGTGACGTGCTGAACAATTAGCAATCGTGGAAAGTAATAAAGCAATTAATCGATCGAGATTAATCGTGGAGAAAGTACTTCTTGCGAAACATCATTTCTCTTTCCTTTTGCACCTCAACAGTTTTCTATTTCCTCGACGCTTCAAACGCGTTCGTAATAATGTGTATTTAAGCCTGATTCATACTGATGATCAATGGTACGATCAGATCACGCCAAATTAAGCAACAGTAAATATTCGTTCACGTGTGATTCAAATGAGAACTTGTAATTAGTTGATTCTATTGAAAAATCTATTTCTTCTTAAAAATCTATTGAAAAATCTATTCTATTGAACATGAAATCGATGAGATTAAGCCTGATGCACGCTAAGAGTTAAAGCGCGGTGTTTCAGAGGCGCGGTTCGCACGAGCAACGGCGACTGTGCTGCCATTACCATACCAGAGAGACACAAGAGAGATAAGAACAACGTAAATATAAAAATATCGCATACGTAATATAAATATAAAAATGTTGGTAGACTGTCAGTTGTCTATTGGATTGCATAACGACAAGAACAATAAGATCACAATGATGATTGAGAACGAAAGAAGCGATATTTTCATGTTTACGTTGTCCTTAAGATTGCAGCACGTTCGCGTCGTGCGTATTGGGCTTTAATCTGTGAACTCCTAGAACGCTACGAAGTTCTTACACTGCAAATTACTTACTGACATCATATTAATGACTAAAAAAGAAAAGAAGGCTATATTTGAAATAAAATATATGAAATAATAATTTAATTTCTTTTTTTGATAATGTACTGTTTTACTAATAGTTATTTCAAGCAACATCAAACTAAGATAATATATTATTTCCTTAGTAATTTCAAATAACATCAAAATAAGATAATATATTATTTCCTTTGTCAATTTTAAACTATATTATTTGGGGGAAATCATCTATTGGGAGTTCTTGTTAATAAAAATAAGTTTAAAAAAAGCACTTAGCATTTAATTGTATTCGTATTTGACAATCAGAGACAAATAAATCTCGTGGCAGTCTCCTTTATTTTTCACTATTCGTCTGAGGAAAGAATATTTTATCAAACGTTTAATAACTATGCTTCTTTACGTTTTTTCTTTTCTCAGTTGAGGACCAAGTCAAAGCTGATCAAGAATACTGTGTGGTATTGATCATTAGTTGACATCATAGTCAATAAATTTTTATTTGACTTGACCGTATATTGTATATTAGAGCGACCAATTGCCAATATTTCAACATTTTCAAAAATAAGAGGTCACTGTTGACAGTAAATGCTGAATGCTTTTGCGTGTGATAATGTTAAGAAATATTGACGATATATATATATCGATCATTTAATCATTCCTTCAGTGATATTGACCAGTGATTGAATTAATTCGCTAGTATAAATCAGGCTTAAACCGTCTCGAGGAAACTTTATATGCGAGTCGAAAAGAAAATTCAAAGTAGTCGAGAAAAATGTATATGTGTTATGCATATGAAATTATTTGTGAAATTACATGGAAGTGAAGCACAAGTATCACGAAAAATATAATATCTCAAATACAAAAATGGAATACTGAACAAACTAGAGAAAATAGATTGAAAATATAATAAATGAGCTGCACAAACGAAGTGAAATCTAAGTATAAAACTCACTTTTTGTAGAAAATCCACTATTCCCAACGAGATATTTCGTTTGTTAATTTATTTATCATTTTCGAATCGATTTACATCGCTAAAAGGAGAAAATATCGGATATAAAACATTTGTTTCGTCAATGTCAGTAAAAATTTTTCATAACATATAATAATATAGAAGTGCATGTAAGAACATGTGATACATCAGACGTTTGTAAAAATCTGCTACAAGTATTAGCTACATATCAACAAACATAAACTACCATTTAATTCTTATAACTTTGTTATTCTTAAAATCCTTATAGGCATACTGACAAAATTATAGTTTCGCAAAGAAGCAAGTTTAGTATTTAAATGCAAAGAGCGATGTAAAATTAGGTATTAGATCTTAAAATAAGTGATTTTGACACCTAATATAATAAATTAGGTGTCAAATTGATAATAAATTAGGTGATTTTGTGACAGCTAAAAACATAATTCTTACAAGTCTCATTGTACTTCAAAATACAAATTACGTTTTTGAAAATAATATACTTTCATACATTAAAATAATATAAATATATAACGATAAAGTAGCTATACTGCTTTGTTTGAAACTAATAGTGTTTTGCTACAGAGACCTAATTTTTCCCGTTTTGAAACTTTTCCTAAAAACGAGATTAAACTTTCAAGTATATAACTCTCAATTATTTCTAATTATTAACTTTCAACTATTATATTTTATAATATAAGTATATTCTACATTTCAATCTTAAAAAAGTCCAATTCAAACAGCTTTAATATCATTCGACATATGAACTCAGTTTTATAAACTACATATTAAATTCCATGAAATTACTAAATGTGATATTTACCACTTAATTGAAAATTTCTACGCCGCCACTAACATTCAGCAATAATTATACTTCTAATTAGCAGTGAATTATTCTCTCCATGAGATGAAATTATTCTTTTACTGGCAAATTTTGATTCACATTCATGACAGAGAAGTAGCGTGGACTAACAATGTTGAAAGGATCCCAATGTTGGAAGTATCCCTTGGTTCTTTCTTATTGCTTATTGAACGAGATCATAAATAATGACAGAAGAGCACACGTGGCAATCGAACTTTATTATGACATTCAACCAGGCGTACAATTAAGAACGATATCGAACTATTCTATTCACGAATAATTGATGACACGTGCGCATCCCGAATGCACGATAAGGGCATGCGCTGAGAAGAATAATAAAGTTGCTTCTCAATATGAGAACAGTCACTGGAAAACTGGCCAACATGAACATCCAACGAGGTAACTTTACGTATTAATTAATAAATATTAAAAAAAAAAAAAACATTTATCGGCTATATTTCTGAAACGTTTTCGTTTCATCGTTCTTTTCATCATCTCAATTGTTAGAAATAAATAAACAATTGAAGCCCAGAAACACAAAGTGCAAGAAGAAATGAAAAATAAAAAAAAAAGAGAGATTGGGCAATCCCACAAATATTATGATTGTTAGTATTTGTATATTAAATGAAGATAAAGAAATAAGTTGAGCAGTGAGGAAATTTTCCATGTTTCTACAATTTTCTTTTCTTTCGCGTTAGGTTTCTAACTCTATAAACCTCTCAGTGACAACAGTTCTGATTATTAATTCTTAAAAAAATTGCATATTACTTTTTCTAGTCTAAAAAAACTAAGACATTTAACTTTATTTTATATTTTATATTTCTTTCGACAGAGATTAATAATAGAATTAAATCAATTTGAAAATTACAAAATTCAGCGCTAAAACATTTAAATTTTCATAACTCTCAATGTCCAACAGTCCAACAGTGGTTGAACAAGTATTCCAAACACGTAGATTTAAGTTTCTCAACAATAATACACACGTATACATACTTTACGATCCAGAATTATTTTCAAACAGCCGTGATAAAAGATTTGAAGTAAAGTGAGAAATGGTAACACTATATTTCAAGCAACATAGAAACCGAAGTTCATATTTTTAATTAAATTAAATCCCCCACGACAAGAGGGAAAGAGGAAACGCTTAATCTCTCCGGTTCATAATCATTTTTGAAAATATGTAATTTGCAACAGATTTGAACTACCATATCGGTTTGAATCGTTACATACTGAAGTACACGGGCATCTGGCCGGAGGAGAGGAAATGGAACCGATCTTCGAGTTACCACGTTCTGGTACCGTCCCTCACGATGCTGTGCTTCGTCTGTGCTCCACAAACCATCAATCTACCGCTCATCGCACACGACATGAATCTGCTGGTCGAGAATTTATCAATGGGCAACATGACCATCACGATTGCGCTTGTGAAGACCATAGCTTTCTGGATGAACGGCAAATGTAAGAATTTCGCGATTTAACCGAGTGAACTATAGTCAAATATATTTCAATCGAAACTTTTTATATTTGGCATTTTATTGACAAGGACGGAGAAAGTAACATAGACTATCGTATAGTTTTCATATTTCATGCGTTGTTAACGAAAGCAGGGAGTGCAACTCGAGTTACAGGATATTTTTCTTTATCTAACTATCCCAAATTTCTAAGGAAACTCAAACTTCCAAACGCGATGTTCGTTTCTTAGTGAATAGTTGTACTAATTGACGAGCTATCGGCGAAACTCTATCCGCCATTTTCTCCCCTTGCAAGCGTTGAAGTTTCTGCTCAAGTGCATAGCCGAGGACTGGGCCACAGCGGAGACGAAAGAACGAGAAACGATGATGAACATCGCCAGGCTCACTAGAATCACCACGATAGGTTGCATATGGCTGTGCGAGCTCGTTGCCATCACCTACGTGTCCCTACGCTTCATTTCCATGAAATACACCGACAACATCATGGTCTACCGTGGCTACTTTCCCTACAACATAACCTACAGCCCCAACTACGAACTGACGATGATTGGTCAAACTTTAGGCGCCATATACGGAGGCACCACGTACGCGGCTGTGGACACTTTTATCGCAATGCTGGTTCTCCACGCTTGTGGACAGCTGTCGAATCTAAAGGACAGCTTGAGAAACATTCACTCGTACGACAAGAAAGACTTGCAAGCAAGATTGAAGAAAATCGTCGAGAGGCACAATTACATCGCTTGGTTTGTATTGAATAAATCTGTTAACAACGACTCAGTCGGTTACTGAGAATTTTCTGAATGATTTTTAGAGATGTTAATTCGACAGTGTAACTAAACGGTGAAGTATTAATTTAAAAGAATCCCTTTGTGTTTACTCTTTGTTTTCTCTCAATTGTATAATGTGGATAGAACTAGAGAGATGAAGTTTGATTGTACTAGAAACTTGTGTAGATATTCCATTTACAAATTAATTGTATTTTTATTTGCACTGTTGTAGCGTGTCTTTATTGTCCACGTAGAGTATTGCCATATTTCGTGTTAAAGTCTTTTGTACCTTGTACTATCCACCAAACATTTATTGTAACATAGTCTTTCCCAAGTTGTATTAACCGAGTAAAAAATGAAAGAGACTTTTAAAATTATATTACGACTTTCTACATATATAATATATGATTTAATTTTAAATGATCATTACCAGATGTGAGTTTAAAAAATCTCTCTATTTACAAAAAGAATGATCTGTTGTAATAATTTAATTAATAGTTCAAAATCTGTAAAATCTCGTGTTATTTTTGATCGGGAAACCTTTAACTGGGAAAGATTCGTAAACAAATTGTTTCTAATATTTGATATTAATTGTGTCGTATATACCTCCAAGTTTCGTGGAAACGATAGAGAATTGCTTCAACGTGATGCTTCTGACACAAATGATCAGTTGCACCATTCAACTATGTTTCCAGACTTTCCAAGCTATCATGGTACGAAAAAAAAAAAAATCATACGTCTTTCTCTGAATTTATATTTCTGCAAGAAAAAGATTGATACGTTTTATATAAGTAAAACGTAGTACATCCTTTCTGATACAGTTTAATTTATAGTCATTCGAAGAGGAAGCAGTGGAGTACATGATTTTCGAACTTACATTCCTGACTATCTATGTGGTTTGCGTGATGATGCAATTGTACCTATATTGTTACGTGGGCGAAAGACTTATGTGCGAGGTATATCGTTTATGAAAGAAAAATTAATCAGTCGATGTCTTCTTTTGATAAAAAAAAAAAATTTGGACGTTTAAACGGTCGGTTTGCGGGTAATTTAAACACGTATTTGCAACTTTTCAGAGTACGGACATAGCTGACACGGCATACCATTGCGAATGGTACAATTTGCCTCCTGAGAAGGCGAGATTATTTGTAATTATTATGTCCCGAGCGAGAACATCACCGCTGAGGATCACAGCTGGCAAATTTTGTTGGTTTACTATAATATTATACTCTCAGGTGAGTGAAAATTCGAATTTCGACGCGATGTCCGTTTATTTCTCAAATCGTCAGATTTTGACACGAACCTGATTTTTGATCGCGATCCTGAAAAATCAGCTATGAAGTGCATCCGATTTGAGGCAGTATTAATGAAATCCCATCGTCAGCCAATATTCTCGTTACACTATTAATGTTTCAGGGAATTTCGCACAACACACGCGAGATATTCGTGAAAAGTTTCTATAAATGTTCGAACACTTTCGCGTGCAACATTCCTGTGTATATTCCAGGTCCTGAAAACCACGGTGTCGTATATTTCCGTTCTATACGCAGTCAAAAGTTAACTGAGAGACGGATCCTATACTTAGTTACGATTGTTGAACATTTTTGCAACTGTCCGTCGCTTCGATAGTACAAATGCAACAGAGGAAATATTTTAGTATCTGCCTCAAGATGGACAGACTATACCTCATAAAGTTAAGCGGCGTGTTGAACAATTAGGAAGCGTGGGATAATAATAAAGTGATCAAACGTTAACGAGGTCTCTCTTGCATAACCACGAAAGTATCATTTTTCTTTCCTTTTGATCCTCAACTCAGTTCTTCAGTTTCTTAGTCGTTACAAACGATCTACAGACACGCTATGGTCACGAAGGTTTAAGCCTGATTCACGATAGTGGTTACGGCACGATCAGATCAGATCAGTCAGCGTTGTATTTATTTATTGACATGTATCAATGCTTCTTCTCGATGTTAAATAATTCTCGATCGAAGATCAAATCAAATTCTGTCAAGAATTGATCGCGGTTTTTATCGATTGATCAAGAGATTTTCCATTCGATTTGAATTGACATATACTGGCAGACGATCAACATGTATTGTCAATATTTCAGTATTGTCAATATTCTTAACATTGTCGTAGGTAAGAGATCCTCAGACAAGTATATCGATCGTTTCTTTGATGATATTGACACGATCTGACCGGGTGAATCAGGCTTAAACTTCATGATCCTTTATGATCAATAAATATTGTCAATATTTCGAGGCTTTCAACATTCACTTAAGTAAGGAATTCTCATTGTCGGATCTTTTTTACATAATGTTGAAAATTTTGAAATATTCAGAACAGAAATTGTTCATCTGAACGCTCTTTAATGTGATACTAACCAGGGCTTTAACTGACACAATCTAACTATACTTTGACCGTAACACGTAAGAAATGTCTAATAAATTAAATAAAAAAATTCAGAACAGAAAACTTTTACGCATGATGTACGAAATCATCCATGAGATTGCATGAGAATGAAAAAACAGTAAGTGCAATGAGAAATCTAATACCAGAATTTAATACTTAACGAGTATTGTTCCATTTTTATTCATATATACCTGTACCTACAGTGTCATTTTTCTGACGGATGGACAAAAAGATACAAGAGAGAGTTATTTGTTTCATTATCATTAAATCTAAAATATAAAATCAAGTTCGTATCAAATTCTAGTTCGTGAAAGCTAAAAAATGTATGTTTCGTCCAGTTGTATTCGCATACTCTTTTGCCCTCCCATCAGAGATTTAATTTCATTTCGAGAGAACATAAATTTCGTAAAATTTGTAAATATTATACTTATCAATTGCACTTGCTAATTCCAACTGCAACACCATTAGTAATAATAATACTTATAAGACGAAAATTCTTTTTACTTGCATTTTCTTCGCGCACGTTCTTGGAAGAAAAGGAACATAGACTAAGGAAAGTTGAAGAAACGCGAGCGTCGCCATTTTTCTTCGTACCCCTTGTTTCCTCCTACACGGTCATAAAAGATTACGAACGAAAATTCGCGACAAACCGTAATGTTACATTCGACTCAAGCATACAATTGAAAACGACACCGAACTACTCTGTTCACGAATAATTGATGCCATATGCGCATTCTGAATGCACGAGAAGGGCATGCGCCGACAAGAACGCTGAAGTAGCTTTTGAATATGAGAACAGTCATGGGAAAAATGACTACCATAGACATTCAGCGAGGTAACTCTACGTATAAATTAATAAATATTCATGAAAAGATAGTAGCATTTACGCAAGAAAGCGTACGCTTTGTAATTGTTAAAAATAAGTGTGCAAATGAGTAAATAAGTAAGTGACATGAATATCAAAAAAAGTGAAATAGATGTCTTTGAAAACGTGATGAAAAGTAGATTTTTTTTTTAAGAACAGCGTGTACAAAAAATAAATGTCGCATATTTTGTTGCTTTTTTATATTTTTGTGATTTTTAGAGAACTCTTATCGTAACATTACGCTTTAGCTATAACTCTTAAAGAAACCATATTCTTTTCTCTGATCGTCTGAGGGCGAATGTTTGAGATACTTAATTTTATTTTCTTATACTCTCTCTCTTAATTTTATATCTTATACTCTCTCTCTCTGATAAAAACTGATAGTGAAATTAAATCGAATTGAGAGTGTTTGCAACGCGAGACCTAAATCCTTTATGGCTCCCGACGTTCAGCAATGATTTGAAATTGAATAGCTGTTCAAATAGATCTAAGAGTAAGAAGAAATCGAAATTGTACTTTGCGTAAAGTAAAAGAGACAAGTAATGTCCAACTTCACGATTCGGGATTATTTTCGATGCGAAAGAAATTAAGAAATGGTAATTTATTTGGTAAGTGGACACCGATATATCTCAAGTAAAGTAGAAAACGAAAATCATGCTTTTAAATGATATTGCAGATTTAAAGGAAAAAGGAGATATCGTGTGTTTAATTTCAGCGGTCTACAATTAATTTTTTCAACACCTATCTGTAACAGATTTGAACTACCAGTTCGGTTGGAGCCGTTACATAATGAAGTACGTGGGTATCTGGCCGGAAGAGAGGAAATGGAACCGACCTTCGAGCTACGTCGTTCTGATACCGTTTCTCACGATGCTGTGTTTCGGGTGTGGCCCACAAACCATTGATCTGCCATTCATCGCGCACGACCTGGACCTGTTTGTCGAGAATTTGTCGATGGCTAACATGACTGTCACGATCGCGCTCGTCAAGACTGTAATTTTCTGGACGAATGGCGAATGTAAGAATTTCACGGTATTAAATTTTTATTAACGACGAGGAACTCTGTATTCTGTATTTTATTGATGAAAATGGAAAGCAGATTGCCCGAGAAAAACACGTGTGGTTTCTAGATTTGTTAGATCAACTTCTAGGTGAACAGTTTTATACTTGAATTAACGTAAATAGAAAGTTCTCTTACGAACAGCAAAAACGAAAAGAAAAATTTCATTGCCAAGCGAAAAGCGAACTTTCAAGACGTACTGACTGACGTTAATGATAACATCCCGAAGAACGCATGTGACTTACAGGTTAATGAAATGCCTTTATATGGGCAATGTAATATTTTTTGGTAAACAACATTATTAACAAATTAGAAGTATTCTTACAAATAGCAGAAAAAATTTTATTACCACGCGATACAAGAGTTTAAGACGTACTCTAGCCGCCATTTTCCCCTTCCTCCAAGCATTGAAGTCTCTGCTGAGGTGCATAGCCAAGGATTGGGCCACGGTGGAGACGAAAACCGAACGAGAAAGAATGGTGAACATTGCGAAGATCAGCAGAAAGACCATGGTAGCATGCACGAGCATGTGCGAATTCGTGGCCATTTTCTTCCTGTTTCTACGATTATTTCTCATGAAACGCAACGACAGCAAATCGTTGATTCTCCAGGGCTATTTCCCCTACAACACAACGATCAGCCCGAACTTCGAACTGACAGAGATTGCACAAGCAATAGCCATTATATACACAGCAGCTTCGTACTCAGCTGTGGACACTTTTGTCGCTATGCTGGTTTTACACGCTTGCGGACAGCTTTCGAATATAAAACACGATTTGAGGAACGTCCATTCGTGCGGTAATTCGAACGTTTTGCAAATGAAGCTGAAGAAAATTGCTCGGAAGCACGATTACGTCAATAGGTTCGTATCGAGAGAAAGTTATCAGTCATCGGGAGAATTTTTTGAGAAGTCACGATAGCTTTTATTGAAGATGATAAAGAGAGAGAAAAAAAAAGAGAGCTAGAGAATGGAAAATGTATATTGTAATAAGCGTTATTATCAAAGAGCGGATCAATTAATTTGCAAAATTTTTTTAGTGTGTTATTTTGTTCAGTTTAAAAAATGTGCAACATATCTATCTTACCTCTACAGTATCAAACCAAAGATTTTTTATTAATCATTCCGTATGTACCTCAAAGGTTCGCGGGAACGGTAGAGAATTGTTTCAACGTGATGCTTCTGATTCAAATGCTCGGTTGCATCGTTCAACTATGCTTCCAGTCTTTTCAAGCCATCATGGTACGAAAAAAAATCATACGTCTTTCTCTAAATTTATATAATACTCATACGAAAAAGAAACGAAATATTACAAAGCGATATACAGCCTTTTTTCTGACATGATTTAATTTATAGTCATTTGGAGAGGAAGCAAAGCGATACATGATTTTCCAAATTGCATTCTTGTGTTTCTATGTAGTTTGCGTGATGATGCAGTTGTACATATATTGTTACGTGGGCGAGAAACTCACAGTCGAGGTATCGTTTATGAAAGAAAAATTAATTTAGTCGATGTCTGTCTGATAAAAAAAAAAAAAAAAAAAAAAAAAAAANAATCCTTCAAATGGATAAATTGTGAGTCTCATAAGTAAATTTCTTTTTAATGTAATTGTGTCATATATATATATATATATATATACACACATCAAAGGTTCGCTGAAACGATAGAAAATTGTTTCAACATGATGCTTCTGATTCAAATGCTTGGTTGCACCATCCAACTATGCTTCCAGTCTTTCCAAGCTATCATGGTACGAAAAAAAACTCTAATTTTTCTCTAAATTTATATTTATATAAGAAAAAAACATATTATAAATATTATAAAGCAGAATACATCTTTTCTGACATCATTTAATTTATAGTCATTTGAAGAGGAAGCAGAGCGATATATGATTTTCCAAATTGCATTCTTGTGTATCTATATAGTTTATGTGATGGTGCAATTGTACCTATATTGTTACGTGGGCGAGAAACTCACAGTCGAGGTATCGAATTTATGAAAGAAAAATTAATCAGTCGTTGTTTTTCTGATAAGAATTTGGATCATTTGGCTATTAGATTTCAACATATATTAACGTTTGCATTTTTTCAGAGTATAGATATAGCTGACACGGCATATCATTGCGAATGGTACAATTTACCTCCTAAAGATGCAGGGTTACTCATAATCATTATGTGCCGAGCTACGTCATCACCGTTAAAACTTACGGCAGGCAAATTTTGTTGCTTCACTATATTGCTATATTCTCAGGCAAGTGGAAATCAATTTTAACGCAATTTATGGATCCAATTTTTCAACAGACTTTTTCTTCTAATATTCGATCATAAATTGCGTCTGTGAGGCATAATGACTTTGATTTGTAACACAGTATCAGTGTTTGAATAAAAATATTCGAATTTTCAATTTTATCAAAATATATAGGTCATACAATATTTCTATAAATCAGATACAGGAGTTCACGATAGTATTTTTGTATTACGTGTGTCGTGTGAAAAATTCCAAAAATTCATTAACACTATAATAAAATACGAATATCATAATTATACTCATCAAATTTCAAATCAACATGAAACTCTGTATAAAATTTATAAAATATTTACTAATAAAGTTATAAAATATTTACTAACCAAACATATCTTTGTTAATTTTATTAGATTATAGCTGTTTAAATACTTCTGATTTTATATTTTACAATCATGAGAATAGATTCTCATTACAGTATTAATCAAGTTACAAAATTATATTTTTATACGACACACATAATATATTCATAAAATGTATTCATATATAATATGATCGCAAAAATAACTTTTTAAGAAAAAAAAAAAAAAAAAAAAGAGAAAAAGTATGGATGTTAGACATATCTGTTTGCCTACAAATTACGTTCGTTCAATTTTTCAGAGCATGGACATAGCCAACGCGGTGTACCATTGCGAGTGGTACAATTTACGTCCCAAGGACGCGAGATTACTGATAATTATTATGTGCCGAGCGAGAGCATCACCGTTGAAACTTACAGCAGGCAAATTTTGTTGGTTCACCGTAACGTTATACACCCACGTGAGTGAAACGACAGACGAAAATGAATTCGATGATATTTACCACTTTTAACACTGTAGTAAATAGTAATTATTAGCCGATTAGTAAATGATTTTAATTGAGTATTGATACAGTATATCAAATATTAATTTTAAACATAGCACAAAAATTACCGAGAAATGTTCAATTTCATTGAAACATATTCAGAGTATGGAATTTTCATGATCACCGTTACGTTTCAGGTCTTGAAAACCTCGATGTCGTGTATTTCTGTTCTATACGCGACCAGACTTTAACTGAGAGACGATTCTCTAATTGTGACTCTTCAACAATTTACAAGTATTTTTAGTATCTATCTCTGAATGGCAATACTTCGTAGAAATGAAAGATAAAGCGGCGCGTTGAACGATTAGCGATTCGTGGAAAGTAATAAAACTATTAAATATTAACGAGATTTCTCAAGAAAGAATTTTTTGTCTTTTGCTCCTGAAAAATTTTCCATTCCCTTGAGATTTCAAGCTCATGGCTTAACAACACGATCCACGGACGCATCATTGACGACTATTTAAGCCTGATTCACACTAGCGGCAACGGTACGATCAGATCATGTCAAGTCGTTCACATGTGATCTAATAAAAGCATTAACGATACTTGGTTGATTCGAATTAATGATTAATGAAAGTCTGTTGACTGTGGACTCAGTTTTTAACCTAATTCACACTATTTGTCAGAGGTTTTCTTAATCCGTGATCCGCGGACGTCGCGAAAAAGAAAAACGCGAAGAAATTATACACGTAAAAAAATAGTACTATTTTTTTCCTTTTTCATTTTTTTCTCACACTTGCCCGGAAAGTAATAACGCGAATACTTTGTATTTTATGTCTCAATGTTATAAAATCCATTTCAAACGGCGTAAATACCTACGTAGCATGTAATAGATACATGAAATTTCATAAAATTACTGAATCGTCATATTTATCACTTACGTGAATTCTTACGGCAACACTTGTAACATTAGTAACGATTACACTCCGTAAGATGAAATTTTTTTACTTGCGTATATTCGTGGAAAGAAAGAGACTAAGTTGAAGAAAGTGCCGACATTTCCTGTTTCTCCCTTACTTCCTTGTACCTCGTACAAGATCATAAATAAATAATTACAAACGGACACTTCTAGCAACGAAACATTAATATTAAATATGAAGTCGTACATCGAACTACCCTGTTCACGAATAATTGATATAATATGCGCATTCTAAATGCACGAGAAGAGCATGCGCTCAGAAGAGCGATGCAATAGCTTCCGAACATGAGAACAGTCACGAGAAGAATGGTCACCGTGGACATCCAACGAGGTAACTTTACATACTGACTAATACATATTCATAAAAATATAGAAGAATTTGCAAGGACTTTTATTTGATCATTGCGATTATTAAAAGTAAATGAATAAAAAAAAATAAAATACGAGATGCAAAATGACTAGCGACGAATATTTTTATAATTCTTTATTCTCTCGTGTTAAATTTCCTACTTCACCTCTTATAGTAATAATTTCCATCCTTTTAAATATAATTCTTAGAAAAACCAGTTCCGTTTTATAGTCCAAAATTATTTTCATCCCTCAAGTATTATCACGCAAAGTATTTTTTACTATATTACAAAAATTTAACATATTCAACACCATTTGTATTTTATATTTTCTTCGACACAGAATGAGAATAATATTAAATCGGTTTAAAAATTACGAAATTTAGCAATGTAAATTTGTTGTGACTCTCAGCGTCTAATAAGAATAAACAAGTAACAGCTGAACAACATAAAAATAGACTTAAAATAAGAAGTAATTGAAATCATACCTTTTAACAATAATACACATGAAAAGCAAACAACATGTATTTTATCTCGCGATTCAAAATTACTTCTATAAACAGCTATCGGTGACAGATTTGAAATAAAAATAAGAAATGGTAATAGAGTTGTCAAAGTAACACTAAAATATACATCAAGTAAACTAAAAGATCGAAATCACACTTTTAAATTACATTACATGTAAATACACATTTTTAAATACATGTAAATACACATTTTTAATACATTGCATGTATTTCATTTTCCTTACGTTGCAGATAAAAAAAAAGAAATAAATAGAAGTATTGCTGTGCACAATGATTTTTTAAATATCTATCTGTAATAGATTTGAATTATCAGTACGGTTTGAACCGTTACACGATGAAGTTCGCGGGTATTTGGCCGGAAGAGAGGAAATGGAACCGAGCATCGAGTTACATAGTTCTGATGCCGTTTCTCACGATGCTGTGTTTCGCGTGTGGTCCACAAACTATTGATCTGCCGTTCATCGCACACGACTTGAATCTGGTAGTCGAGAATTTATCGATGGCTAACGTGACTCTTACCATTTCGCTTGTGAAGACTATGACTTTCTGGATGAATGGCAAACGTAAGTGTTTCATATAAATTGTACTCAATATTTATTGATGATGAAATTTCCTATATTTTATTAACAAAAACCGTATTCGCTCTCAACTGAAGAAGAAATTTACTACTGTTTATACTTTATTGCCCAAAGTAATACAGACTTCAGAACGTTATTTTTGTTCTATAAGTCTTTATTTTCTAGTCAAATGCTAATAGCTCTAGGCTTGTGACTTCTATGTTTGTGAAATATTTCTAGATTTTGCAATTTCTGGAAATTCTAGAAATTCTAGATTTGCAAGTTCTCACAACTGGCAGGCTTGTAAATTTTATTATTGTATAATTATTAAATAATATAATTATAATTTATATTATAAAATTTGTATAAATTATAAATTTTATTATTGTATAATTATTAAATATAATTATTAAATATAAATATAATTATAAATTTTATTATTATATAATTATTATATAATTTTATATATATACTCGAAAAACGAACTTTCAAAATATATTCTAGCAGCCATTCTCTCTGTTTGCAAGCATTGAAGTCTCTGCTGAAGTTCATGGCCAAAGACTGGACAATAGCGGAGACGCAAACCGAACGAGAAATAATGGTGAACAGCGCGAGAATCACTAGAAAGATCACGATAAGATGCACGATAATGTGCCAATTGGTACTCGTCTGTTACCTGATCCTACGATTATGTTCTAACAATCAGAACAAACTGCTCTTCTGTGGCTATTTTCCCTATAATATAAGTGTCAGCCCAAACTATGAACTGACAGTGATTGGTCAGATCATAGCTGCTGTATATGCATCTGTCATGTACACAAGTGTGGATACTTTTATCGCTATGCTGGTTTTACACATTTGCGGACAGCTTTCGAATCTAAAGGATGATTTAAGGAACATTCACTTGTACGATAAGACCGTTTTACAGACAAAGTTGAAGAAAATTGTTCAAAAGCATGATTATATTAATAGGTTCGTATTGAAAGGAAATTATTAATTCTTTGAGAAGTTTGCTTTTTCATTAAGCTGACAGTAAAAAAAAAAAAGAAAAGAAAAATAGAAAATAGTTTTAAAATTTTATTAACCGACCAAAAAATAAAAGAGATTCTTAAAATTATTCTTCTACATTTTTCTTCGCAAATTAATTGCTATCTTATCATATTGGATTCTTATTATTTATTTAAAATTATTATCACAATATCATTGTTATTTAGTTATTATTATCGTTTAAAATTTATTAGTTTATGCATTTAAGGATAAATTTTTTAATCCTTCAAATGGATAAATTGTGAGTCTCATAAGTAAATTTCTTTTTAATGTAATTGTGTCATATATATATATATATATANAAAAAAAAAAAAAAAAAAAACGAAAGTTAAGAATTCTTATTAACTTTCGAATACTTTCGTGAGAAACTGTAACATGACAATCGTTTTATTTATTTCAGATTTTGAAAACCTCAGTCTCGTATATTTCCGTACTCTACGCAACGAAAGGTTAGTAGAAAGCCGATAATCCTATATGTAGGTTTTTTGAATTTTACAACTATCCACCTCTTCGATAGAACAAATTCTACAGAAAGCCGTAATAGCTCACTATTTTTCTCTATGATAAATTATGTTTCTAAAGGTAGAAGAAACGAGGCGAGACCAAATGAAAAATTGGATACTAGATTAGAGTAATAAATCTATTAAATGTTAATGAGATATCTCGGGAACACGAGTGCTTCTCGCGAAACCTTCAGGACCATCATTTTTCTTTCCTCTTGCCCCTCGACAGTTTCCCGTTTCTTCGCGAAACTTTTAGCGCATGCTTGATTAGTTTTAGACTCATTGACAAACGATTACTCATAAACGAGCCGTCAGATACGCCATCGATGAATTTTTCATCAAACGATCCATCAAACATAGCCCGCAACTATTTTTATCATTAAACGTCGCTCTTATTAGGTGTGATACTATTATCCTTACTCCTTGATAATTTGTTATCGCTTTTCTTGACAGCGAAAACTTTCGGTACCGCGAAGAGATAACGAATCTATCGTTAGTAATAATTTTTTAAATATTTTTCTGCGAAAATTAATTTTCCAAACTTTCTCCAATATCGACGTAAACATGAGAGCACCTGCTAGTTTTCATACAAAACGTGATAGTACAGAAGGATCGTCCAGGAAGTTAATCGATGAAAATTCTTTTTTATCGACGCGTGACAATGATCCGGAAAATTATGTACAAAAATTATTTAGAATAATACGAGGAGATAATAAACTGACAATCACATTCATAACTTTTTGACTCAAGCTTTGTTGAAAAGATTTTGAATGAAATTAATAAGTAACAGGACAATTCCGTGCAATCTGGTAAAAATTTAGGAGTAGCTTACAAAGTTTTTCGTTGCATAAAATTGCATGAAAAACGTCACAAAGACAAATTCATCAGTGACGGAGAAAGAAGAACACTGACGAGATTTTTATTATAACGTTGAAATATATAATCCTGCAGCTTTTAATATATTTCTAACGACGTTCCAGATTGTCTAATTTTCTGCAAATGTTTTATTGTGAACAGAGATGTATGTATCTGATTTTTCTGTGGCGAAATTACGTTTTCATTCTGGTTATTCCATATAATTCCGTTTATATTCCGAATATAAATTAAAACTATTACGCCACTGTGTTAATAAAATCCCAGTATAATTGAAGAAAGAAGAAAAGTAACGACAGAAGAGGAAGAGTGCCTGCGTTTCGTCTGGGGAATACTAGCAAACTCATCGGTAATTGTTGGAAGCCTTATTGGTAGACGTCGAGATACTGGAGATCGAATCAGAAGATATATTTAGGTATCTTTGAAAATTTGTTTTCCAGTGTATACATTTTTTTTAATAGCGAATGAGCGTGATAAACCTTTCTTTTTTTTATAGGAATTGTATTTTTTAAGATTTCAAAATTTGTTGCCTCAAGTTCTATCGAAATGTATTTTCTAATTCGCTATCACTGGACCATAAATTATTCTGCAGTTACGGAGAAAATAAAAACGAAACATGTACACGCACTGCCATTCATAAGTCACGTAACGTGATTTTAAACATAAGCTGTAATAAAATATTTGAAACACAACAGACTCTAGTTTTTATCATAGTACATACGATTAGTAAGAATCGACTTTGTTTTATAATTATTCATTCGCACTTATTCCAAGTAAAAGGAAAGTAAGTACATACAATTAACGAAATACACCTGTAATTATCTTTACAAGTTCATTAGGTAAAAGAATAAATTTAAAACGGAAATTAAATACAGGTTGAACTGGAAACTTTGACTTTTGGATTTTTCAGAATTCGTTATTTTTACAACTGACATCAATTTTTTTCACGCACGCCTATCCTCCAATGCAGAAGATTAGTACATATATATGTATACATATAAGTACAAATGTAAAAATAAATATTCATGATTAGGTTCACCCATTGCACCCATCGCGTGGACGATCGAGTAAAAGTTGCAGAGTTTTCACCGTTTATTTCCGTCAACGTTGACGAAAGAAAGTCTCCGTGGCACCGGACTAATAAACGTTATTAACAACTGCGCACGGAACACCATCACAATGGGTGAAAACGAGGAGAGATTGGTCATCGTTTACTCTGATGCACACGGATAAAAACGTACAGGCTTTACGGTTTGTTGGCAAGACAGAAGGCCACCTTATAAAAATCACCGCCCCCGTCGACTTCGATGTTACTTTAGTTTCTTTCACATCGCGAAACACGCTACTCTCCTACTTCACGTGCAAATTCTTTACAACGTTCGCACGATGGATAATTTTATGTAAAGACAATATTTCATTCGGTCCGCGGAATACTTTTATAAATTGACTAAAAAGTTCAACACCGTTGTGTACGTGATAAGAAATAAAGTTATTCAACCGATAGAAGATGATGTTGAACGCGAAGATTTTGATTGTAGTGGGTTTGGTGAGTTACGGGGTTATCGCTAGAAACACGGATGGCAATGTAGATTTTCTTAAGGAAACGAGTAATAAGAAGCATGGTGGTTCTATGTTGATGGAAATAGCGAAGGAACTTGTGCAAAGATCTTCGACCAGTAGTCAGGTATAATAATATATAATTGGAATATAATATATATATATATATATATATATATAATTGGGATATAATTGGAAATTATTTAGTTTCATGAAATTCCCGTCTACCTTTTATAATTTCAAAATTATGGCTTGATTCAGCGGGAACATCTTGTACAAATAGAATCTCTGCTCTTTGTCCTAATTTATTTCAATTTTTATCGTAATATTCCAAAGTTGTATTACAAGAACAGAATGTCTACTGCATATATAGTTAACAGATTTGAATAACAAAACTTGAATGAAAGAGGCTGTACTATAGAAGTTTACTATTCAAAATTGATCGGTTGATTCTGACAATAAGGAATTATAAATTAAATTAAGAATGAAGAATAGAGGAAATATTAAAATTCAATGATATAACTGTTACAGGTGTTGAATCTAAATTTATCAAATTTGCTATTGCTTTTGGTATTGAAAGCAGTTGTGTTTGGAGCGAGATATTTGGGCCATCATGACAAAGGCCGTGAATTAGAAGAAGGTTTAAAATTTTAAATGTATTAAATCTTTCTTGTAGATAGGAAGGTAAATATAATTAATAGCGATTTATGTGCAGAAAATATGGTATCTGAAGGAGAAGTTACATTGGCATTAGGATACCTAATAGGAGATACTTGTTTATATAGAGCAGCTTGTGAAGAACCTTATGTTGCGAAGGAATACCTAGGAGCCGCAGAAATGATCATGCAAACGATGAAATTGTTATCCCAGTACGTAATTCTACATTCTGTTTGACATTATTACATTCAATTATATTTGTATTTTTAATTAGACTATGGATTTTTGGTTCTTTATTTATATAATTTATTTATATAATATCTAAAGATGTATAAAATATCTAAAGTATTATCTAAAGTAATATTCGTCATAATAATTGGTATACAAAATAAATTTCTGCTTGAATCCTCCTTTTTTTATAGAGATAAATATTTAATAATAATTAATAAAAAGTGAAGATTCTGATTTTCCTGAATAAATATTAATGAGCACAAATATCATTGATATTTGTCAATCACCGAGTTTCTTCTTTAAAACAAAGTGAGTAATTCTTCACATATATAATTGAATGTAATATTTTTTTGCAGGGATTCGTCAATTAAAGGAAACTACGAGCAAACAATGGCAGAATTCCAGAAAGCTATCGAATATGGCATTACAGATGGCTGTCCGCCTCAATATAGTTGCAAGAAAGAGAATATTAAGAATTTCTTGAGAGAAGAGAAGAAATAATTGCGGAAATATATACTCTTAATCAAGTCGTAATATTCTGGAAGAATTTATAGCATGTTGAATATTTGTAGAAATGAATTATGCGCCTTTTCAATTTCTTATAATTATTGAATTTATCCAATAATTAGAGACTTGATAATTGGAGACCAATTGAAGAAATTGGCCTCTATTAATTTTGTTCATATTTTTAAGTAAATACTTATGTGAACCATGAAATACATATATACGTGCATACATATAATTTAAATATATTGAATTGTAATGACAAGTAGATTAAACACTTAGTTCACAACATTTTGTCCTTTTTAAATTATACTTCTAATACATGTTATACATATACTGTACTGTAATTGTTACTCATTATGTACTCATTATACTGTATACTCTAACTGTTCTAATTCAATGTATCTATTTATGGAGCGTTCAGATGACCAATATACTATGCATGTGTATGTTGCTATTATTCCAAGATTCTTAACATTATGTGAAAATGATCAGTATATAGTCAATATTGACCATCTGAGGTCTCATGAGAATGTTGAGAAATATTGATATTTGAACGCTTTCAGGATATGTGATAATATCCCTTTTTTTAAATTATACAATTTTCAAACTATACAAATGATCTCAAAAACTGTCTAACTTAATATTTCATTTTCCTAACATTGTTTTACATAGAGACACGCCTATCTAGAATTCATGATTCGCAATACTTGAAATATTAATACCAATATGCACACAATTTTGATTTTCATTTCGGAATAACGTATTGTAAAATATCGAGAGTTTTCTTACCATTTTTCCGCTAAAATATCAGGAATTCCACCCCACGATTTCAAATTCATGTCCGCGTACGCCATTTTGACATTCCCCAACGTTCCTTTCCTAGAAATAATTCAATTTTCATTGAGAATTTCATTGAGAATTTCATTGACAATTATCTTAAACGTAACGAAATGATTAATAAATAATGCGTGAAGCATTAATTTACCTATTTTCTCAGACTTTTTCTCATTTTATTTCACTTTTACGTCGCGAAACTACCGCACGTCACTGTCGCGATCGTTTGAAAACTGAAAGTTTTCGCACCGACCACCAGATGTCAGTTCCACAGTTCGACGACTAACCTATACTGATACACGGAGCATGTACACAACTTATCCAGTCATACGGCGCTGACGATCAAGTTTTGATTTTCGCCTATTCACGCCATTCGAGCATATAAACAATTTTTGATTGGAACAGTAATATTTTAATATTTATATCTACGATTCGATAAAAAATGAGTTCTATAGGCACAGGGGTAAATATACGACGTGTTAATTGAAAAGCAATTTTAAAGAACCATTAATCGCAAACGGTAACGCAATCTAACCTCCTTTTGCTTTTCAGTATGACTTGTCTGCTTCTCAATTTTCACCTGACGGACGTGTGTTTCAAGTCGAATACGCGCAGAAAGCCGTCGAGAATGGAGGGTAAGTGTTAATTTAATTTTGATTATTGATTTGTTCCAAAAGTGCGAATCTAATTATCTGCTCTGATCACTGTATCTTGTAGTTTTCAGTAATTTCATAACGTCTGTCTCAATGCTAAATGTTTATAAGAGAATTATACAGAGATTTTGATTACAGAACGGTCATAGGACTGAGAGGAAAAGATGGCATTGTATTCGCTGTGGAGAAGATAGTTACGTCGAAGCTCTACGAGGTTGGCACGAACAAAAGAATATTCAATATAGATCAACATGTTGGTATGGCAGTTTCTGGTTTGATATCAGATGCTAGACAGATCGTAGAGATTGCTAGGTCAGAAGCATCTAGCTATAAGTCTCAATATGGGATCGGTATCCCTTTGAAATATCTAAACGAAAGAGTTTCCATGTACATGCATGCATACACTTTGTATTCAGCAGTCAGGCCATATGGCTGTTCAGTAATTCTTGGTGCCTATGAGCACGATGGTCCAGCTATGTATATGATAGATCCTTCTGGAGTTTCGTATGGATATTATGGTTGCGCCGTTGGTAAGTATAAATATATATAATCTATCAAGTTTTTCCTGTTAACGTGTAATATTAATATTTAAATGTATTATTCAATAGGCAAAGCAAAACAGTCAGCAAAGACGGAAATTGAAAAATTGAAGTTATCTGAAATGACTTGCAACGAATTAGTAAAAGAAGCAGCGCGTATAATCTACCTCGTTCACGATGAATTGAAAGACAAACAGTTCGAGCTTGAAATGAGCTGGGTTGGTAAACACACGAACGGAAGGCATGAACGTATACCAGCTGACATAAAATCCGACGCCGAGACAAAAGCAAAACAAGCAATGGCGGAAGATTCAGACAGTGAGACAGAAGACATGTTATAATTTAATAATATGCCATAATTTATATCTACAATTGCTACAGCAAATTTTTTGTCAACAATAATTCAGTCAAATAAAGAATACCGTCTGTTGTTTATAAAATAGCATACTCTTTCTTTTTAACATGTCGTTTAGTCTCGTACTTTCTCGATGTGTTACAAATGAAAAATTGTTACAAACGAGTATCATGGATTTTTTTTTATAGCATGATGTAACTTTAATCCATCACAGAAAAATCCTCCACCCATTTATTGAACGCAAATTGCGTTAACAATCGAGGGACTGTCAATAATCCACAAATAATGAGGAGTACCTCAGCGCCGTTAATTGGATTTGCAAATCTTTCTGTCGACAAACGAATTTACAAATCTTTTTGTATTCAAAATGAAACAACTTCAACGAACATTATACAACAAAACTAAATTTATTTAACAAAGTAATTCTTAGCAATTTGGAGGAAATCTTATAATTCTGATCTTGTGTGTGATTTTGGTTAAATTTATCATAAATCATTACGTAGTAATTCTTGAAGTGATGTCTGATTTTTATATTGATTCTCTAATACAATATAATTTTTATGCAATTATTTGTTATTATTACTCAAATTAAAATCCTTAATATTTTCAACTTTTCATTTTTAACTAGCTTTAGCTGCCCTAACTTATGTTGTATTCACTAAAAAAAAAAAAAAAAAAAAAAACAATAAATCTACATAAAAGTGGTTATATTGTGAATTAGAATAAAGCAGAAAAAATAAAGGAGATAAAAAGATTAATTACGATTAATTAATCAATATTAACCCAATTTATAATATTACATTTTATTAACATAAAACTTAGTCAAAGAATCACGCATAATAATTACCAGAACTTTTTCATGTATTTCATTTAAATTTGAGATATTTTTTAATTTTAGAGAAGTACAAATGAGTCGAGAATGATCAAAAGAATGCAGTAGAGTATAGGAGTGTAATTCTATTTCACAAGATAATCATTTTCATACAAATGAAATTCATCTTAATTATTTTTTTCTTTTAAACAAATATAACAACATTAATTATAAAAATTTATTAAGTAACATAATAAAGATAATTACACAAAAATCGTACTGTACCATTTCGAGACAACGATACAAAATTGCAAAACTTTTGATCTACAACACAATTTACTGGCAATTCTTTCACCCAATGAATCGTCTGAAAATCGGCAACTCTGAACGAGAATACCACTTTAATTACCACACAAGGTTTGAAAGTATCAATAAATTATAAACACGTTTCACAATTCCTCTCTGTCTAATCAGAACACACATAATACATAATCCAAATAAAGTTGATCCCAGCATTAACCCCGAAGATCGTACCACAAACTGGATCCCTACCTTCTTCGATCACCTACTTTCATCATCCTCAGAGGGGAATATCCTTGCCCAAAGCAATTAAGTGTATCAAGTCGACCAGAGGTTGGAAAAACAACATGACAACAATATAATACGGAAACAATATGATTTTGTCGTAATGGAATGAAACTGGAGATCGCGAGGGGGTGAAACACTGGATTCGATGCTATTGGTCTCGCGCATGCTGTTTCTTTCTATTGGCGAGAGGGTTGGTTTCAGCCGGTAGCGACCGCCGCGCTGATAGAGACTACAACCGGAGGAAAGAGGATAGTTTCATCCGGGCTATATAAGGGTAGGTAGAGTTTGAAAGTTACTCATAAACTGCTTTTAATTGATGCATGCGGTTCGCTTCTTGCGTTGCTTCGAGGAAGAGGGGAACGTGATCCATCGCGACTTGATGATCGACGGGTTCGATCGACACGCGGTGCGCTTCTCTTTAGCTTTGTCCCGTTGGTTTTCGTCTCGCATCACTGGTAACGGAAAAGAAAAAAGGTGGCAAAGTAAGAAGAAATAAAGAACGAAAATAGAAAGAGAGAAATGTCTTTGAACCGCAGCACCGTAGATAATGTTTACGGGGTGGAGGATCAAGTCAGTCCGGTGGTGTACGTTAGTACGGCGACTGCGTTGGGATTTATCGGATTCTTCGGCTTCACTATGAACCTTTTGGTAGCGGTGGTGATCATAAAAGACGCGGAGACACTTTGGACACCTGTCAACGTGATCCTGGTTAATCTTATCGTAAGTCGTTACATAATTATCTAATTTTTTTTTTAACGTTTCTCGTTTATTCGTTGGTTCTTCGAGCTTATGAGGAATGATTTGTACTGGACTCACGTATATGAAATGTCTTCTGCCTAGTAAAATTTGATTTTCTGATTAATTATAACTATACATTTAGTACTGAGAAAATTCGTTGTAAAAATATGAAACTCTATAAAATATTATTATTAGTAAAATTTTATTAATAATATTAGGTCAATTATGCAAGAAGACCTTATTAAATTTTTTGAGTGACTTCATTCCAGAAGATATTTCTTATAATTAACTTTAAATTCATTAACAAAGATAAGAGAAAGAATGAAGTAATGAATTCATTACTTCTTAACGAAGTCATCATACATTTAATTAATCACCTCAAAATATAGAACACAATCCAATAACAATCAAACGTTTTTTCAAATTATTATCTATAAATTATTTTTATGTATCACTGCACGATTTATTGTTATATTATATAAGTAACTATTATTACATTTTGCAGTAATTTTGCATTAATTTTACATAAATAACACGAAAGACATAGTTTCATTAGAAAACGAATGACCAAAAAGAAAACGAGGGTTCGTTGTGAAACCACTTGATTACGAAAGATAATTGATCATCATGGTTTTTAACGTAACACGGTTAAGTTTAATTTCTGAATGACGGAGAGCAATATTGTATAAACGGTCGGATGTGTATTTATGTGGAATCTCAGTCGTGCAATGCCCCGAGAAAATGTTAACCCATATGAGTAATTTATGCGCGATAAAACATTCCCTGTGCAACCCTTTTACGTTGCGCAGGATAGTAGTATGTGTTATTCATTATAGAAACTGTGTCATTTGATATAATGAATTGCTTGTAGAAACCCACGTAGCTTTGACTAAATGCATAAAACTTATTTTCCATCTTTTAAATTAACAATTCTTCAATTTATTTTTATAAGTTTAAAAAGGATATTATTGTGTATTTCTGACCAAATTTCTCAAATTAATTTTTAATTTTTTTCAATTGAATTTTTCTCTTTTTTTTATTTTCATATATTAACAATAAATCCAATATTAATTGTGTATGACATGAATTTCACTGTCAATATAATTATACGTGCCAAATTAACGTACGTATATTTGTATTCTATTTTGAATTTTATTTTTGTAAAGTTATAAATTTTGCTGATTGTTAAGCAAAAATTTAATTGATTAACTGATCGACGAAAAGAATTTATTTCTTGTTATTCTTTTTATTTTTCTTTCAATTGAAACTGTAGGAAAATTTTAATTGAAATCGTCAGAAACAATTTGGAAACCAACATTTTCTTAACTAAAACCTTTAAACAGAACTTCATTATGTTGATTGGTTAATCAACGTTTCATGTAGATCAAATTCTTCATTGTATTAACATTTTCGAAAAGAAGAAACTAACTTTCTCGATTTGAAATTATTAATTATTTAATTTGAATTTGTTGAGTATTAATATGTTGACATATCAACATTTGATACGATACATTTGAAATATTATTTATTCGTAATTTTATAATTAGTTTTCAAAGAGAGTAAAACACTCTATATTATTATTTTATAATTATACTCTAAATAAACGGATTTTTATTATTTGATTGTGAAATTAAAGAAATAGAGTATTATATTTTATTCTACATCTATTTTCAGCTCATCATTAGCTTATCACAACTTATCATACCTTTTTAACTGTATCGTAACTCCAAAATTATTTTACACACATTTATGTATGTCACATATTATGTACAATCATCTTTAAATTTTCTGTCCATGCATAAACATTCGCAGTTTAATTATAAATATATGCGAAAACTGTGGATATTGTGAAAAAGTAAATTAAAAGACCAAAATGATTTTCTAAACTTATGAAATTTATAATTTAAGAGAATTTGTAAAATTCTTACAATTTAATCTCTCAATTATAAACTTATAATTATATTTAAAAAAAAAACGTTCGAAATATTTAAAAAAAAAAATCGCAGCGATAGAAGCTCATTCGACAATAGCTCTTAAAGCTAATTAAGATGTTCCGAATGAATGAATTTCAGAATCAATTTCATTGTTGTTCGGTATTGAATTTGTGTCTTGGAATTTAATATTTTTTTCCGAGGGTGAAAGAAGACAAGAGAACAGAAGATTTGTAATTCGAGGAATTATAATTAACCCCTAATTAATTAATCTCTAGGTGGGGAGTGCGCATACTTCAACAAAATGAAGGCGACAGGAAGGAATTCATTTCATCAAGAAAAGTGAATCTCAAAGTATTACGTCGATAAAATTCGCGGAGCTTTTTATCGACAGAGAATTCTCTTCGAGAGACGCTTGACTTTAAGGAAGCATTGAAATTTTCGACGATATCACAGTCTATGCCACTATTAACCAGACTGTATACAAATGTTTTACTTCGTTCTTCCAGTTTGATCAATAATGTTTAACAATAAAAATTAATTTACGTCCAGTGACGTCCTTTAAAATTTCCAGTTCCGATCAAAAATTTTCATCTCTCGAAGTTTAAATTTTAAATTTGTGGATTTTACAGTTTAAGTTTTAAATCTATCAAATTTTAACGACGCTCGTGATTTTGAGCTTTACAATTTTTCAATATCGAGATGCAAATTCTTAATTTCTTAAGTTTCTGAATTTTTCAAACTTTCAAGCAAAAAATCTATAGATAAAGTGGAATAGTTTTTATAATATTTAATGAGACGAATTTTCATCTATACTCCTAATTCCTTCGATTACACTTGCAAAAATATAAAAATTGACGTTCGCGGTCTGTTATAGTAATAAGAAACGAGGTACAATACGTTGAGAGATAATTATACTTTCCTTACACGAGATAAGTTTACATTCCCCGGAGGAAAGAAAAACGATAGCGAACTAGTTTATTCTTGTTTCGTAATATAGACAACCAACATAATAGAACATTTCGTTACACGCAAATTCAACTTGGAATACAATAAGGCGAAATTATAACTTTAACTATTCCCTCTTGCGTACTTTTTAACTGGATCCTATCATCGTGCCTTCGTATTTCGCACTTGTGCAAAAATTTGTGAAAAAATCCACGATCAGTTACATTATAAATACGTCATCTGAATCTGAATAAACGATCGTGTTAGATGTCGAATCGGAGTGTATTAAGTCTATTCTAAATTTCAGTTATTTTCATCAGGTCAAATAAAGTTTGCGAGGATCCAGCTTTGCCGGATTTCAGCTGGGTTTGAATAATTTAAGTCACATCGATGTCGAAACATGCCGTGATTGCCTCGAAGCATTTACGCTTGTACTAATTCGTTTATTCGATTATCAGAGTGATGTAACTCGAACGATGTTTGAAGAGAAATAATAATTCAAATGTCGTACTTTGGTATTGTATTTTTTGCTAATAATATTGATCAACTGATGTAATCTTTTCAGTAATTTTATTCTAGTTTTTTTTTTTTTTTAAGAGGAAATTAGTACTTTAAATTATTCGCATTGAATATTTATGTAAAAAGATGATTATGTTAACCTCTTGCGCTGGAATGACGTGCCACGCACGTCGAGAATTTTTTGAAAATTGCAACATTTTCTCAGTTTCAAGTATATAGAATCCAGGCAAAAGTATAGTAACTAGTAAGTTAAGTATAGTAACACAGGCAAAACAAATGATAAATTTATTACTTCTTAATAATGAACAATAATCTTATCCACTGATATCATACCGACGAGTTCAAAAGAAAAGGAAAGCGACCAATTATCGTATACGATTTCGGTCACTCGTTATGGTCCGCGCAACCAGTTACAAGGGGTTAATAATCTCTCCAATAATCCTCAATTTCAAAAGTCTCAGCTCGTATTGCCGATTTGTTCATATTATGTCACTTCTTTTCGACCATTAAAGCCTGAGATAAAAGTCAAAAAACTAATAACAAAAGCATTTCTCTTTCCTTGTCGAATAATTAAAGATAACAATTTCTACTTCAGGTTGGCGACTTCCTGGTGGCCGCATTTGGGAATCCTGTTGCGATGATATCCGCTATCACAGGCGGATGGTACTGGGGTTACAAAATGTGTCTCTGGTATAACTCATTGTTTATTAAACATAATCGCGCGAGATTCCTCCGGCTGAGAAACACCTGAACGAACGTAATCCCTTTCCCTCTCTCATTCTCTCTCTCCGTTCTTCAACGCGTTTTCGCCGCAACCGCGATGCGCATCGTAGTTTCTTACGGCGGAGAATAATCAAATCTCGAACGAACGTAACCTTTTTCCCGCCGTTCGAAGTGACGAATCGAAGGGAACTCCGGTGATTTTCACTGGAAATTAATGGCCGAGCAGAATATTGAAGCTGTATCCTCTATGGTGTTTGCATTTTTCTTTTTTTTTTTTTAACAGTACATCGCGATTGATTCAAACATGGAATCATACTACGAGCAAAGTTGCCAGGGAATGTTTATTTTAACGAGAAATAGAAGAGAATAGAAAAATGTCGAAGGACAACTGAGAATATTTCTCATAAATTTTTTTTTCTTTCTTTCTATCTCTATCTCGTTGAAAAATGTTGGAACATGGTATCACGTGTTTTGGAAATACGTATCTCGGAAATGGTTTCTTAGGATTCGCAGAATAGTCGAGTGTCGTTATAACGAGGTGAAACATTTACGGGGTTTACATAGAATCCGCGTCTGGAGGCGACGAGGCTGACTAATGTAAGTAAGAGAAAGTATCCCGGCGCGAGCCTTTCCTACCGCAGAGTGAAGCTCCATCGTTCACCGTCATTTAAATGTTCAACAAACCTTTAAGGAACTTCCCGAAGAAATTCCAGGAGTCACAAAGACAAACAGCGTTACGTCTAAATTCGAAAGAGAAGATGGATATTTTTGGTAAAAATATTGAAGAAATATAAATCAACACGGCCATAATCCTAAAACAACAACATTGCATAGGACGTCTCTGTTATTGCTATTCTATCACAAAGTACTTAAGAAAAATTATCGCATAGTGATGAAAGCTCCATTGGAAAATTATAATTCAAGATTGATTCAAAATTACTATTTCTATATTTTATCGTCATTTCGTTTCTAAAGACTAAATACCAAATGATTATTATTCCTTCACCAGTAATTGATAAAATAATTAATTTAACATTATTAGAATTTCTTAATAACGTAACGTTCATAATTTTCTTCGGTGAAGTTAAAAATTATCCTCGGTTCTAAATCGTTATTACTCAAGCAATAGTTGCTTAAGGTGCTTTTAATTTATTAGCTAAGCTGCAAATACGCGTGTAATATTTTTATAATTTTCGAATAACGTAAAATTTACAATTTTCTAATAAACTAAAAAAATTTAGTATTTTTATGTCCGACATGTTCTCTATCTATGTAGCTCTAACTCTTCATTGATTCATAAATGATGCAATAAGATTTTATACTACAGTTCTTAAGAGTTTCAAGATCAAATTTATCAGTCATTGCAGATTTCATTAATCTGCCATAAGTTACTAATATTTAAATGTAATAATACTTTGTTTGTAAGGTACGCCTGGTTCATGTCCACACTGGGATTCGCCAGTATCGGAAACCTAACAGTGATGGCTGTTGAAAGATGGTTATTAGTGGTCAGACCCATGAAAGCCTTGTCCATAAGGTGAGGATGATTTACACTTCTATTATTATTGTTTGACAACCAATGATATTTCGAAAGAGCTACGACTTAATATTTTGACAGTGATACGAAAGTAAAAGGTAATAAATATGTTCGTCGGACTTTTAGAAAATTGATAAAATAGTTCTCTAAGATTTAATTATTCCATATTGACCTTCGATTGATTTATTAATATTTATTATATTCATATTTCTTTATAATTATATACACACACAATTATATTTATTTGTATTTTTCATAATTTCGTAAATATAAATTTCATAATTTCGTAATCATATTACACACAACATATGTAATATAATTGTATCATTTTATTATCAACACCATCATGTACATGTTTTTCAATAATATTATACAGTCTCTTTATCCCGCTCGAGGCGAAAATTTTAGCGTTAAAAGTGTTGCTTCACTTCACAATTTTCACCGAGGTAATTATGATTTGCGGTCCTCAAGATTTATCTCATTTACCATCTCTTTTACCGTCGCACTTGCGCAGATGTCTAAGAATATTTCTTCAAAAACCTTTCCTTCTTCAGTATTAAAACATACATACTTACTAGTAATTACATACTTTATTTTCCCGGCGATCTTTTCGTAATTTTAACGCGTGTTCACATTCGCACTATTCGCATACTTCGCTCGAGAAAAAATTGAAATTCCCGTAATTTGAAATTTTAATGGATCTTGAAATTTTAAAAAGGAGACTTCAATCTTTAGGATCATGGTAGATTCATTTATGTAAAAATTTGTTCAGTGTCTACAAGGACGTTTGAATTTGCACAATTTTCAAGGGATGAAACTTTCTTTACTTATCCTTCTTTCCACACAATGTGACGTGGAAACATCTCAAAGAAACGAATTCGTTTCAATACTCTAATTAAAGCAGAGCATTTCACACTTCAACCCTTAAATGCACAATTCTTTTTTAAACAGCTCAGAATATTTACAAATATTTACTTAGTTAGAATAATTACAATGCTTACGATTTTTCATCGACGGTACGAACACTTCCTGAGGCCATTGTACACCTCTTTCTCTCGTCATTGTTTCTCAATTTAATGTTAAAGAAACGAGAATGTTTAAGAAACGAAGGTTGTTAATCCAAAGTTGAGTAAAATGATACTTCTTAATAATTTCTATCAAGTGATATCATACCGACGAGTTCAAAAGAAAGAGAAGGCAACAAATTATTGTATACGATTCGGTCACTCGTTATGGTCCGCGCAACCAGTTGCCAGCGGAAGGGGTTAACACTAATTCCCCCCCCCCCCCCAGTTCGAATATGAGAGTTCTCTACTCTATCACACTAGCAACAAATTCTCTTCTAATTTCACTAGTCGCCCTATATCGTTCAAATTCGTTTATTTTCGACAGACACGCAAAGATACTTGGATTCTTCGTGTGGATCTACGCACTCTGCCTCTCCCTGCCGCCGCTATTTGGCTGGGGTAGTTACAGCCCGGAGGCAGGGAACGTGTCCTGCAGCGTATCCTGGGAAGTCCACGACCCTGTTACCAAAAGCGAGAGCTACATAGGATTCCTCTTCATACTCGGCCTGCTTGTCCCGGTCTTGGTGATCAGCGGCAGTTACGCAGCGATCATACTGACTTTGAGGAGAGTGCGAAAGAGAGCAGGTAAATTTCTAACGAGGTTAAATTTCCGATCGGGATCCTCAACGATCTTTCTATGCTTAAACTCCAATTTCAATGACGAACGTCAGTTCGACGAAAAACATATCGGTACTTTGTAAAATTTATATGATTGATTCGTCGCATTTGAATAATCCCTTCTTATCGCCAGTAATAATGGTAATTGGGCATTTAGTTAAAGTTAATTAGTTATTCGCGCGATTAATTAATCTCGTTTTAATAATATTCACGTACTGTCCTTCTGCTTGACCGCTTGCGCTGGCAACTGATTGCGGACCATAACGAGTGACCAAAATCGTATACAATAAATCGTCGCTTTCTTTTTGAACTCGTCGAGGTACGATATCACTGGATAGAAATTATTGACAAGTAATAAATTTATTATTTGTTTTGCCTATTTTGTTTTACTTAAATGTAATACCTAAAAACTGAGAAAATATTATTTTCAGGACAAAAAGTTCTCGACGTGTGTGGCATTCCAGCGCAAGAGGTTAAATATGACAAACTAGTTTCTTTTACTTCGAGACTGTTGATGAATTATTGACGAATCCATGGATACGTGAATCTTTTTTAAAAAAGCACAATTTCGTTCACGATCTATAAATGGCGAGAAAACGTCGTGTAACGTCCAATAAATGTAACGATATTCGAATAATTTTGTTCGACGTTAATGTCAGGTTTTCATTTCGCACAGTCGGAAAATTCGATATCAATTTGGAGCAAATAAATGTCGAGCAATAATTCCGAAAGTGACACGCTGTTTGAATATTAAATCAAACAACTGTAAATGTCGATGATCTGCCTTCGCATTAGCACAGAACCACTTTGTTTTTACTTTGATTTAGGTGCAAGTGGAAGACGCGAAGCGAAGATCACGAAAATGGTCGCGCTAATGATCACGGCCTTTTTAATCGCTTGGTCGCCTTACGCTGCTCTTGCAATTGCCGCACAATATTTCGACGTGAGTATATTTATTACTATATTCACTCACGGTTCACATTTACTTTGTCTCTTCTTCTTTTTTTTGTTTTTTAAAGAGCTTGATGCTCAAAAATGGTCATGGCCAAAAGTCTCCGCACGTGACGTGAAAAATGAGTTGTACAGCTTTCTATATTATTTCAAATAAATCTTCCGTTAAGTTATTAGACGAATAATTGAGAAAAAAGAGTCTCTTCACTGCAACTAGAATAAAAATGGAATTTCCATTGAAAAGCTTGAGTTTTTATTTATTACGTGTTTCTATTTATTTCTTCATTTAGAATTTTATTTTGTCAACATTTTGTTCATTGATTTCTTTAGTCATTGTACGATAACAAATTTTGTTATTCATTGGTTGCTATTAATAGAACCAGGATATTATAATCACAAGTTTGTTGACCATTAAAAGTAACTTCGTATTAAACGCAAGGTCAATTAAAATTGAGAAAGCCACATTGTTGCACGCAATATCCATCTTCTTTCATTCCGACATCGCGAACGACTTACATCTTCAGAGTGAAAGTATTCTCGTAATTTCTTATTAACAAGCACAACGCCATGCTCATTAAACATCGTCACGCATCTGACATTAATATTCAAAGATACAATTAATACGCATTTTACATTCTTCTTCGTTCAACATACACCCCGAGAAAATAAGATGGCACACTCTAAAAATTATTAACTTTCTTTTTATCAAACGAACGATGCAAAATCTTTCTTACATGCATTCTTCCGTAGTGCTTTCATCAACACGTACAAGTAACGTGAATTAAACTTTTTGCAGTACATGTATTATTAAAATTGTATTATTGAGAAGAAAATAAAAATATGGTAATATTTAACGGGTTAAAATGACAGCATATTTTATGACAAACAATGGGTAGAAACAAAAGGAAGAGTTTGATAATTGTTTAATATTTAGCATGATTTCTTTTGCATTTAATAACGGTAGCCATTCTTTGAGGCAAAAATTTATATAGTCTTTTAACGACTTTTTGGCTTAGTTCTTCCCATTATTCTATAATACAGTTTTTAAATTCATTAATACTTGCGAATTGTCTTTCATTCTGGTATACGATCCTCGCCAAATTCTCCCAACAATTTTCTGTAATGTTCAAGTCTGAAGACTTGGTTGGCCATTCTAAAACACGAATTTTTCTGTTTGCAAAATATTGTTTTACTGTTGTTTCGTGGTGTGTAACATGTACTTACTTTCGTGATGCGCACACGTGTTAATTTAAACGTCGATCGTTTCAATATACTTTCTACAATTTAATTTTCTTGTAATAAAGTTTATTCCCATCTTACCTCAATAACCAACGCTTCCCTAAATCATTGTACCGCCGCCACCCATGGATCGAACTTGTTGCTCTTTTTGTAAATCGCGAGAACAGTAATGGAGGCAATCAGGTCCGTCCGAATTGATACTTAATTGATTTTTAACTGACTGTATTTCGCACGAATGTTACGCTTCCGCACGACTGAGGAGAATAAATATTGTCCGAACTTGTTCGCCTCGCGAGTCCGGGCAATAATTATATTTTTCGTTTTTGCATCTTTGTGAGAAATTCTCGGTAATCCTCTCGGTAATAACATTCAACATGCTACACAGTCCAACATCATTTTCACTTTACGATGTATTACATAATACAAGAAAATATAGAGTATGTCACCTGTTTGCCCCCGGCGTTTGTAGTTTATATTCTTCGCAGAAATTTCAGCACGTTTCAGCTACCATTAAATTCATATCTCGATTCGTATCTATGCATATGCTTCCACCCCCCCCCCCTCCCCCCTTAGAAATATAAAAGCCAGAAATTTAAATTATAAAATTCAGAAATACAAGAGCATTACCTCTGTAATACAGTTATTAATATTCATTGCTATTTATTGTTAATTTATTTTAATATATTAATATATACTAATTCATTTTAATGTATTAATATACATTATTAATATACACACAATTTTCTAATGTATTCGTTAAAACTTATGGCAGGTAATAGAATTTTTAATTACTTAATATTTTAAATTTTTAATACATATTAACATACACACTTTTCTACTGTATTCGTTAAAGCCTTATAGGTAATTGAATTTTTAAACTGTATTCACACCTGTTTGTCATTATTTTTTATTGCTTCGTTACAATTTCATACGCTCTCTTCATTGTCATTATTTATCACTTTCATAATTATCAATTTGTCAATGTACATTTTATACACTCTTTGTCGCATGAAATATCACTCGACTGTATCGTTCGACGATCTTTAATACTACACGAAAGAACTCGAAAGAAAACTCTACTACACAGACACGACAGAAGAATCGATAAACACCTAGCAACGACACTCTGTCCAAGAATATCAACCGAAATCATCGATTAATCTTCTAGGTGAAACCATCAGCGTCGGTAGCTGTACTTCCGGCGTTATTGGCCAAATCCTCCATTTGTTACAATCCTATAATCTACGCAGGTTTGAACAGTCAGTTCTCCCGATCGTTGAAGAAGATCTTCAACATACGAACAACGAGGAACACGACACCGGACAGTCAGAACACCGCGCTCACGATGGTGAACAGGCAAGAGCAGAGAAACTGAGGACAATGTCGTCGTAAATATCCGTAGCCGCGTAGACGTTCGACGAAATTGCAAATAGAACGAGGAATACTATTCAAAGAACATCCAAGGGAATAAAACTCAAAGAGAGATATTATGGGAAGATGAATATATCTGAACAGAATCGTTTGAATAATTTCCGCCTTTTCTCCTAGTCTCTGACACTTAAGCTCCCGAACCGTGACGAGTATCGAATTCAAAGTAGAAACAGTCGGGAGGAAATGAAATTCGGGGACAAGCATCAACGTTCAGAGAGGAAATTTCTGTCGAAACGGTGATAAATATTGCTCGAAGAAACGAATGCGAATGAAGGAGGAGAATAAATAAAACGAAAAGCAGAAAGAAGTGAAATTCAAAGGAAACGTTTGAACCCGTTTGCGCTGGCCATAATTGGTTGCGCGGACCATAACGAGCGACCGAATCGTATACAATAATTTGTCGCTTCCTTTTCCTTTTGAACACGCCGGTGTGACATTCTACCGGATAGAAATGATTGAGAAATTACTAAACTTATCGTTTGTTTCTCCTTGGTTACATTCAAATATACTTAAAACTGAGAAAGTGTTGCAATCTTGGGACAAAAAGTTCTCGACGTGCGTGGCAAGTCATTCCAGTCAGCGCAAGAGGTTAACACATCCGAATAGAATCGTCAAATCTTCTAAATTTTCTTACAGTTACAGTAAGAAAATTTATGGAACGAAAAGAAACAGCAAATGAAAAGAAGTAAAGGAAATCAAATTCAAAGAAGGAACACTCGAGATATCCGGAGAAAATCGTCTGAACAACCTGGTCCTTTCTTCTCGATTGTTTGCCTTCGATTTGTTTCTTTAACGTGCACTTGCTCGTCGAATTGTAAAGCGGAACTTTTTGCTTTCAAGTTGAACGTTTTCTCGTTTTGGTGAGGAGATTTGGAGGAAGTTTCGAAGATCGCGGTGAAAAGTAAACGATGCGCGCTTCTTTCCGGTGATTTTGTTTGCTTCTTGTGAGATTCTAGTCGTGTATTATTTCGGTCACTGGGTTGGAGTCATGAATACATTGGCATGTATTATATTATTTATTTCTCGAAGGCTCTTTGCGCAACGAGTGTGAACAGGAAGAAAACTTTTCAATTTATTTCAATGTTCAATAAGAGATGTTTGTAGACAGTTTAAGTTTATTCTGACGTGAAAGTAAATTAACAAGATATCAAGCAGGAAAAACAGCGAAGACTGGATTTGAAAGATATTTATTCCAAAAAAGAGTTAGTCAAGTTTTAAAGAAACAGCGAAGAGTAAATCAAACTGAGAGTGATTTGTTTCGTAATGGATTCGATTCTGAATTCGAGTTTTAACTAATTTACATTTGAAAATAAATTGGTATTAACGGCGTAATAAATTATTATATAAATTGACAGCTCGATGATTATAGTTTTATCCGTCGAAACAAAAGAAATTTGTTTAATGTTGATTTGTTCTTTGTTTTAATTTCCCTAAGTGACTAAGTAATTGCAAGTAGTTTGTACATATTATTTTTAAAAGTGACGCGAAATTATCAATGAATGATTGAAGAAAACATATACAGTAAACTTCTGGTACTGTTCCTCTAAAATACTAAATGCTAAATACTCATTCGATGTCGAATAACCAAATATTTAATATATAAAGAAATATTTGATCCAAGGAAATAAACTTCCACGTAGCACCTCAAATATCAAATAATAAATTCGAAATACTGGTCATCAATACCGAGTTCTTAAACTTGTTATTGCCAAATAATAGCCTAATGTCCCCAAGTGCCAAATATTAAACAGTGAATAAAGATTTGAAGGATATTTATTCCAAAAACAATTAATCACTATAAAACGCTGTACACTATTAAATGAAGAATACCAAACATTGCTAAATAATTGCTGATAATACCGTTCAAAAATGAAGAAAAGTGAAGAAACTCGCTCCAAAAGGCATGAAGATTCCAATTTTCACAATTTGCAAGTGAGTGAAAAAAGGTAAGTAACGGCAAGCAGACACATACTTAGAAAGTGGAATGATAACACGTAACGTCGCCAAAATGAGCAACGAAAATTCCGAATTAAACGCCATTTATATTACACGCGACGTACTTCAAATGCCAATGGAACGATAGTTCATCAGTAAATTGAAGCATGCGCGAGAAAAAATGGCAACGCATAAAGCGAGAATCCAATTACGGCATCCGTCGAATACCGATCGCAAAGGTGTCATCGGTTATCACAACGTAGAAACAATAGTACTCGATAACCAATCGTGTCTCTCGAGACTCCTTGCCGAGAGTGATTCCAGCGCGCTCGTAGAATGACAATATATATATATATATATATATATAATAGTTTAGCTAGTTATTCTTTCTGTATCTCCGTCGAGTTGAACGTTGCAGTGGCATCGTTATGGACAGCTTTGCCAAGAGAGTTCCCATTACGATTCGTAACACGCGCGATTATATCGCGGTAGCGAAAGTGAAATCGCGAGGAAAACTCAACGCGGTCGATCAAATCTCCTCCGAGGCAATTCCGCACGGTATAATTTACACGCACGGGATACGCAATTTCAAACGAAATTAGGAATCCCTTGTTCCAATTATTCTCGCTGTATCTTTGAAAATCGTTCGACACTGTTATTTTTGTATTTTTAATTATCATTGTCGAAGAATGTAATATAGAAAATATAGCGAGGTATGCTATAAGTATTCAATTAGAAATTCTTTTTTTTTCATTCCTGGTTCAAATTATTCTCGCTGTATCTTTGAAAATTGTTTGATACTATCATTTTTGTATTTTTGTATTTTGTACCTTTGAAAACTGCTTGACACTATCATTTCTTGTATTTTTAATTATCATTGTTAAAAAATATAATATGGAAAATGTAACGAGGATTTAGAGTATTATTAATATTTTGTATCTTTGAAAATTGCTTAATACTATCATTTTTGTATTTTTAATTATCATTGTTGAAGAATGTAATATAGAAGATATAGCGAGGTATGCTATAAGTATTCAATTAGAAATTCTTTTTCTTCATTCCTGGTTCCAATTATGCTCAATTATTCTGTATCTTTGAAAATTGTTTGATACTATCATTTCTGTATTTTTGTATTTTGTATCTTTGAAAACTGCTTGATACTATCATTTTTTGTATTTTTGATTATCATTGTTAAAAAATATAATATGGAAAATATAACGAGGATTTAAAATATTATTAATTATCATTGTTAAAAATATAATATTGTTATAAAATATAATGTATTAATTATCATTGTTAAAAATATAGTATTGTTAAAAAATATAATATGGAAAATATAGCGAGGCATTTAGAATATTATTAATAAGCAAACGAAATTTACACGAACGTAATTGGAAAAGAAAAAGAAAAAAACATGGAACCTAAATCGAAAATTGTTTCTTTCACACAGTGGTACAACTAACGTTCCTCTTTGGTAATTTTATATACTTTTGCATCTTCAAATTCCCCACAAACGCAGAAAAACCCGCAGTCCGCAATCGTGAATGTGAAATAACCGTGTCATCATGTGCCTTTCTCGATCGCGGTCGACAGATAATCACGTGTAATGTCGCTGATTATATCGGTATAAGCGGATCGGGATGAGAGGACTAGAATTTTCATTAATCGAGCGTGTAACGACGAGTTGGCGACGAGCGAAGACGAGTGAAAAGGAATGAATGGACGTTTCTTCGGGAACGATCGGCATTACGTAACGATAATTGGCCAAAGTCTGTGAAAATTCGTTCGGGGGACGAAGGGAGTTGTACCGGCCAGCCGTGAGACAGGTTTCGAATAAAAGCAAAAGCCACGACGTTGGATCTTCGTTCCTTCTCTTTTTTTTTTTTTCCTTTTTTTTTATTGCCACATCCTTGGCACGTGACCGCAATGCCTCATCGATCGACGAAGAAATCCTTAGCAATTGATACACGTGCTCGTTCGCTGGGAATGTCAATTCGTGAAATTAACGAACGACGAATTTTTCGTTTAACTTCAACTGTGTTAGATAAGTGTCTATTACACTTGCACAAGTACTTAAATACACAGTGTATCAAACTAAATTACTATTAAATTACTAACTTATTACTATGGTGAATTACTATTTTCACTATTTACAGTAAAATCTCCAAAAATATATCAATACGTTCGTTAGAATAACTTTATTATCCCATATTAATTTTGTCAATTAAATTTAATTTCACGATGATTTTATCAATTTTATTATATGATATTAATTATTTGAGATACATTGAAGTTAATTAATTTTCGAGACAAATGAGGCTTGAAACCTCTGTTTACTATATAAAAGGATTTCATAGAATGTCTGATTGAATTTGTTTCTTCTGGTTTTTCACCATGTTCATTATCGTCAATTATCAAATTGCGATACAATGTATGCTTCTATGTGTACACAACGTATTAACTAAAAAAGATGATTTTCTTATGAAAATGCCATGCACAAAAGTTTGAAGTCCCTTGAAATCTCTCCTTCGAAATCCTGTGAAACTCGAAACTTGAAACTCGAAACTCGTGCCACTTTCATGACGTTTCCGTGCTGAATTTTTCACGTCGCATCTCTCGAAATTCGAGTAAATCATGATATTTCATATTTATACAAATGTTTCGCAGAAAAATGTAGCTTTAGAATTTAAAACTTAGAATTTAATTAGCAGCAATTTAATCAAATCCACTCCTCACTCCAACGAAATTATTAAAGAAATTAATAAAATTGCCAATTTCCAGAATCAATTTTAAAATACGTTAAAATCTTTATTTCTGTTTATTATCTACTCTGATCTGAAATAAATAAATCGTCTCTAAAACAACAAACGAGACGAACATTTTTCGCGAGATTTCACACGATTTTAATTCCGTTCCAAGTCTCTTGTTCAATAAAATTTTCGAAAACACAGTTTCTTTCATTACGTAAATTTTGTAGACAAGAACAAGAAATAACCAGCGACGAATCTTTTTGCAAAGGTCTCTTTGGCGACAGACCTTCTAAAAGGCCAGATATTTTTGCGAAAGCCAAGTATGGCGCGTCGCAAGTTAAAGAACGATTGCATCGGGCGAACGTAACGATTAAAGCGGGGCTCGAAACGCGGACGAAACGCGAATGAGAAAAAAGACGATTGCCTGAAAAGCAGCGGTTTACAATGTAAACCTTGGCCGGGCCAAGCGTTGCTTCATTTCGTTGCCTTACGCCATGGTAGAGACTTGTTTTCAATGACGGATCTGCTT